AAGACGTGTCAAAATAACTAAGCCAATCAGCACAGTTTAGTAAGTTTTTCCTATATATGTATTTTGAAACTGGATAAATGTTTCTAATAAACAAAATGTCTAGCATTTGTATTAATAATGACTTTCTATATAAGTAACCCAAAGTGTATTCATTCATTCAACCAAGACATGTCAGACACCGTGTTAGATTCTAGGGGATTCAAAAATAAATAAAACAAGGTTCTTGCCTGGAGATCGAGTTTAGTGGGAAAGAGACAAGTAAGCAATAATTACAATACAAGGTAATGGGCTTCTAATGGAGACATGAACAAAATGCTACGGGGACAAAAGTTTTTCCTACAAATAAACCTAATGAAAAATAACATAATTAGTTCACTATCACAAAAAAGCAAAAACAGAATAAATAACATATGGGAATGGCTGATCTACAGGTCAGTAGTAATAAATGACTATTTACATGGCATGGCTGTTGATATTTTATAAAACACTCAGATATATAAGGGAGACAGGCCAGCTTTAATTATCACTTTATACCTTTATCCATGATATTTGTAAGCAACTTAAGAGCAGGAATCATGTCTTTCATCTTTGTATTCGGAGGCCCTAGCACAGCACCTGTTACATAGTAACAGTATGAACATATGTTGAATGAATGCATTCATGCACATACATATGAATATTGATGATTACACAAATAGCACACTTCTGAGTTCACAGATAACAGAATTAAGTGGGATAGACAATACTTGAAAAGAATATTTGATATGCGATATATCGGAGAGGTTCACTAAACAAAGACAAATGGAAATTTAATAGGGATCAGCATGGAGAGTACTTTTTTACAGCAGACATATGTGATTCATTTTTTAATATTTCCTCTAGGTGTATAATCATGACTACATAGTAGACATTTGGCAACTACTAAATGAATGAACTGTTCTACCTCTACAATATATCTCTTGGATCGAACTCCTCTCTATTGACCTGAACTGTAATAGCTTTCTAAGGATCTCCTCTCTCTTCCACTTCTAAGAGCTTTAGTTGTCATATTCATCTCCCTAAAGTACTTTGATGGTGTAACTTTTATTTTCAAATTTCCTAAATAGCTCCCTTGTATTGGGACACTTTATTTAAAAACCATAATTAAAAACAAAACAAGGGCGCCTGGGTGGCTCAGTTGGTTAAGCGACTGCCTTCGGCTCAGGTCATGATCCTGGAGTCCCGGGATCGAGTCCTGCATCGGGCTCCCTGCTCAGCAGGGAGTCTGCTTCTCCCTCTGACCCTCTTCCCTCTCATGCTCTCTATCTCTCATTCTCTCTCTCAAACAAATAAAATCTTTAAAAAAAATAAATAAATAAGATAAAATAAAAAAATAAAAACAAAACAAAACAAAAAACCATAGGAGGTACATAGTACAAAAGCCTGGTACTGGCACACAATGCAGCACTAAAATGGCAAAAAATTAATGAGCTAGGTTGTCCTGGGAAAATTAGTTATTCATATGATTTAAAATATAAAATAACTAATGGACCCATACACAAAAATCAACTTGTTATTTATTAAAGACTTACATTGGAAAGAAAATATAGGACAATTTTAAAACAATCTCTGCTTAGCTGAGAAACCCAGCTGTTGTTTACTGCTGGGTTTCTTTGAGCCTCGCCCGGCACCAAGCACAGTTTAGGAATCTACCAATGATTTGCAAGGAATTTGTACCCAGATTTTTGGGTTCCTTCTCTGTAGTTCCCTTCTCTCCAGGATTTTGCCCTTCCACATTCCAGCCACTGCTAACACCAGACTCTACCTGTGGTTTCTCAGCCTGCTAGGGTTGTATTCTTTTGCATTCCACTTTGGAAAATGTCTTAAAGGATACAGCCAGATAAATGTGGTCCTCATTTCCCATGCTTCTCTTCTCTGAATGATTGTAATTTCTTAGATCCAGCTTATGCTGACCATTCTCAATGCCTTCAAACAATGTATATATATTTTGTTCAGTCTTTATAAATGTTTTTGGTGGGTGGGTTATTCTAAAATAAGTGGTTACAGCCAGAACTGACATCTCGTCATGAAAGTCTTTTGTTGAATGCTCATTTTTCTTCCTTTCCTTTCCTTTCTTTCCCTTTCGTTTCTTTTTTTTTTTTTTTTAATCTATTCATCCGAGAGAGAGAGCACATGAGGGGGGGAGGGTCAGAGGGAGAAGCAGACTCCCTGCCGAGCAGGGAGCCCGATGCGGGACCCCAGGACTCCAGGATCATGACCTGAGCCGAAGGCAGCCACTCAACCAACTGAGCCACCCAGGTGCCCCGTTTCTTTTCTTTCAAGAGAGAGTGCACGGGCAAGTGCCAGGGGTGGGAGAAGGAAAAGGGAAAGAGAGAGAATCCCAACCGGACTCCACGCCCAGTGTGGAGCCTGATGCTGGGCTCGATCCCACAACCCTGAGATGATGACCTGAGCCAAAATCAAGAGTCCGACGCTCAACCCACTGAGACACCCAGGCGTCCCTCTTCTATCTTTAACCATTCAATCATTATTTTACATTGTTTCTAATGATGCCAATATTGAAGGTTTCTGAGGGAATAAATCTGTTTGTTTCTGCTGACTCTCATTCGTGGTAGATTGCTTCCTCAAATATTTGGGGATCTTTCACTGTGAGATCTTGTTTGGTCTACGTAATATGGGGAATCCTGGAAGTTTAGGGTGAAGATGTTTTCTCTAAAGAGGATTTGTGTTTGTGTCTGCTTAGAGGCAGCGTGTGCTATAGACCTGGGACATATCTCCAACTACTCTTGGAGAATGATTTCTAGACTCTTCACAATCTTATTCCTGTTGCATCTATACTATCTCTGATTTTTAAAATAATGGTGCTTTTGCATAAAGCACAAAATCAAACACAATACCCAGTTTTGATCTGGACAGAGTAGAGTACTAATGATTTATTACCACTCTTGTTTTGGAAATTCTACTAGTGCTAATATAGCCTAAAGATACATTACCGCTTTTGGCAAATATGTAAAAACAATCCACAACACAGAGAAAGGGGGAAATGGATAATTATCAGAGAGTCAAAAGACCATGAAACGTGTTATTTATGAAATCAGCTATGTAAATTGTGACATGTAAATCATAGTTCTATTTATTCTTTGATGCTGTAGAAAATCACAATTTAAAAAAATAAAGGAGAAACAAGAAGCAAAAGAAAACAATGCACTGCATCTTGTGGAGAGACTTATAACTAACCCCTTCTCTCACCTTTTTGGTCACCTTATACCTCTACAGAGATGATATACTGGAGGTTCATCAACTCAAATCCCCAGTTTTTTCACATGACCCACTTGATGTGAAGTTAGGGTCCTCCAACCTACATTTTTTTTTTCAAGTTGGGTTTTAAGCCTAAATGAACCACAATGAAAAATCTAAAGTGTATCAAATTCATAATACTGAGGCTATTTCCAATCTGAAATGTTTACTTTTTTATGATAAGTTAAATAGAGTTACCCTTCCTTAGTGAATAATTTTAACAGCTGACAAGCCTAGGTGAAAGGTTATAAATACCTGGGCAGTAGTTAAAACCGAAATTGAAAATGAGGGAGATTTTTTTAAAATTACTATAATGAAAAGCAAATTCAAGAGCAATAACTTTGGGAATAACCTGACAGACCTAACTGATCACAGCATGTAACTAACATATTCAGTAGTATATCTTAATGTCAGTCTCTTTTTATGTATTCAACTAATGAAAGAGGTATTTTTCTAACCCCTCAATTAATCAGCTATATCTGGTTCACATTTTTTAATGGGAAATAACTCTAATAGTTTCTGCTGGATCTAACTAATTTTTACTTTTTATTCCAAAAATATATGTCTAAAGTAGTAAAAAGGAAAATATCAGGCACTGAAAATATATTTTATACACCATAATTTTATGGAGGGAAAAATCATTTTCAGATAAATAAGTCTTTCAATAAATTTAGAAGGTTCCCATTTTAATTTTAATCTCAAAAATCTCAGCTCTTAACAATGCCTTTAAAAAACCTGAAATCCTTTTTACTGGCAATATAGTTTTAGATTTTTAAAAAGCTGAAATACATTTAGAAAATAAATTTCTTTTATGCTTCTTAATGCCCATACTTTAAGAGAGACTGCAAGTTTTTGGGTTTTTTTTAAAGATTTTATTTATTTATTTGACAGAGAGAGACACAGCGAGAGAGGGAACACAAGCAGGGGGAGTGGGAGAGGGAGAAGCAGGCTTCCCGCAGAGCGGGGAGCCCGATGCGGGGCTCGATCCCAGGACCCTGGGATCATGACCTGAGCCGAAGGCAGACGCTTAATGACTGAGCCACCCAGGCGCTGTGAGAGACTGCAAGTTTCTGTTGTAAAAGTAATTAATACTTGTCAGGGGAAAATTTTTAAACAGTAAAAAGTACCAAAATTCATACACATTACCAGTATTAAAATACAACCACTATTACTATCTTAGTGTTGGGGTGCCTGGGTGTCTCAGTCAGTTAAGCATCTGCCTTTGGCTGTTCCAAGGTCCTGGGATCAAGCCTCACGTAGGGCTCCCTGCTCAGTGGGGAGTCCACTTCTCCCTCTCACTCTCCCTCTGTGCTTTCTCTCTCTCTCAAATAAATGAATAAAATCTTTAAAAAATACATATATCTTAGTGTTTTTCTTTCTGGCCTTTGCTTTTCCCCTATGCATAAACTGATTTGTAATATAGTTTAATCATATTATACATATAATTTTGATTCTTTTTCCTTGACTTAACTTTAGATCATAAAATGAATTCCATTGCTCAAGGAACTTAGATAAATGAATGGAGCCACTGATGATTATCTATATTTTGTTCTCTGCAGTTTAGACTGTTTTTAGAGAAAGCATATGAAACTAAGAGTCACATACTTGTGATTTCTTTATCATCTGTCAGTTGTATAGTTCCATTAATCAACTTATAAATACCTCACAAAAGGTTTACACTTCAAAGTAATTTAACTTCTCACCTTTTGAGCTGCAAGATGGAGGGCTGTTCTCTGGCTGTGGTCAGTTTTATTAACATCTGCTCCTGCCTTCAGAAGAGTGTCTGCACAATCCAGTCTGTCAGCCAACACACAATACATAAGTGGTGTCCTCCCAAATTGATCTTCTTTGTCTTTAAGGGCAGAGTTTCCTATGAGTATAAGAAACAGATAGTGATATTTGATAATTGCTGTTGTTATTACAATATAACTAGGAGCTACATTTACTAACTTTATTAGCAAGCTCTGTGTTAAAAGCATGAAATATATGCCACTTTTACTTACCCTATGAAACAGATATTACCATCCCCATTTTATAGGAAACTGAGACTCGGTTAAGTAACCTGTTTATATTACACTTAAAGTAGGTGGAGCTAAAATTCAAACTGATAATTGATTCTAAAGGCCATATTCTTTTTTTTTTAATATTTTATTTATTCATTTGAGACAGAGAGATACAGAGAGAGAGCATGAGCAGGGTGAGAGGCAGAGGCAGAGGGAGAGGGAAAAGGAGACACCCCACTGAGCCAGGAGCCCGATGTGGGACTCGATCCCAGGACCTAGAGATCATGACCTGACCCGAAGGCAGACGTTTAACCATCTGAGCCATCCAGGTGCCCCAAGGCCATATTCTTAACTACTATATATATGCTGAATTAATATTGTGAGATATGGACCTACTTATTTTCCTCACTCACTCCTTTCTTTTATAGATTAAACGCTAAGCATTGTGGTATGTTTTTATGAGAGATACAGAACTGAATTATGATTGGCTTCCCATTTTTGACAATATGGAGCAAATGCATACTACCCTGATTCTCCTGCTAATTACAACTAAAAACCCCAGGCAAAATACATGAAAGGTGGAGAAAAGAAGGCAAACCGTCTAGGGACTATGGGACTCAGAACAACCTGATGGTGAGTTCCCTGTCAGTCTGTCTTTCTTTTCTTATTTTTTTTTTCCTCCTAAATACAGTCTGGGGGTTAAAGTAGCCCCAAACCAGAAACACCAAAGAGCAGATACAAAATTCCCCAGGAAGCCTGCTCTCTTCCAGTCAGAAGATTGGAAAGAGGGTAGCCCTTGGAGCGCTTATACCTGGCTCTACTCAAAGCACATACAATGAAAGAAACTGCACCTCTTTGGGGCACCTGAGTGGCTCAGATGGTTAAGCGTCTGCCTTCGGCTCAGGTCATGATCCCAGGGTCCTGTGATCGAGCCCCTCATCAGGCTCCCTGCTCAGTGGGGAGCCTGCTTCTCCCTCTGCCTCTGTCTCTCTCTCTCTCTCTCTCTCTCTCTCGACTCTCATGAATAAATAAATAAAACATTAAAAAAAAAAGAAACTGCACCTTTTTTCCTCCCCACTGGGCACAGCAGAGACTGTGGGCAGGAGCCCTATAAACCATCATGTCCTGAATTCAGCAAAGGATAGCAATGTAGTAGTATCTTACCCCTTCCCGACTAGAGATGCAGGGAAGATTATGGAGAGGAGGCTGGAGAAAGCAATTGTTTAAATTGGTGCATGAAGTCATAAACAACTCTGAACAACCCATGTGGAAACTAACCAGAATCAAAGTAGCAAAAGTTTTGAGAATTGAACTATGGGTGGAATATTGCCCAGGTTCTAAATTAGCTTGGGTAGCACATAAGTAGGGCAGACCAGAAGAGCTGTGAAAACTAACTTCACATTAGAACCACAGTCCACAAAACTGGAACAGAAAGTTCATTCTAAGCCTAAACAGATTGGCAGTATTAAATAGAAGATTTAAATAGGATCCAGTCTCATAACATAATACACATAATGTCCAAGATACAATCCAAAATTATTAGAGAAACCAAGAACCAGAAAAACATTAACTTAAACCGGAAAAGATGATCAACAGACATCAATACTGTGATGATAAAGATATAAGAATTATCTGACAAGGATTTTATTTATTTATTTATTTTAAAAGATTTTATTTATTTGAGAGAGAGAGAGAGAGAGAGCGCACAAGTGGGGGAGGGGAGCAGAGGGAGAGGGAGAAGCAGACTCCCCACTGAGCAGGGAGCCCAATGCGGGTCTCAATCCCAGTATTCCAAGATCATGACCAGAGCCGAAGGCAGATGCTCAACCGACTGAGCCACCCAGGCGCCCCATCTGACAAGGATTTTAAAGCAACTATAATAAAAGTGCTCCAAAAAGCAATTATGAACATTCTTGAAACAAATGGAAAATACAAAGTCACAGCAAAGAACGATAGAATATAAGGATGAACCAAATGAAAATTTCAGAATAATAAACATTTAATAAATAAGCAAATAAAATAACTAAAATAAAAGCCTCACTGAATGGAGATGACAGAGGAAACAATCATTGAACTTGACGATAGACCAATAAATATTATTCAATCTGAACAGCTGATTGAAAACATAGAAACAAAAAGAATCCACAGAATCTCAGGGCTCTCTGGGACAATAACAAAATACCTACCATTCATGTCATCAGGTTCCAGAAAGAGAAGAAAAAGAATGAAGGGCTAAAAACATATCTGAAGGAATAATGACTGGAAATGGTGCAAATCTGGTGAAAGATACAGACCTACAGATTTAAAAAGCTGAGCAAAACTCAAAACAGAATAAACCTCTAGAAACCTATGCTACGTCAATCATAATCAAATTCCTGAAAACTAAAGATGAAGAAAAAAATCATAACAGCAGCCAGAAAGAAAAAACACATTATCTATAGATGAAAAACAATTCAAATAACAGTGTATTTCTCATGAGAAACTATGGAGTCCAGAAGGCAATGACACAACATTTTTCAAGTGTTGGGGGGTAAGGGTGGGGATGAACTGTCAACCAAGAGTTCTATATCCAGTGCTTGCCTAGGACTGGGGAGAAGGGGAGGTGTTAAAGGGGTCATAGCTAAAGGGGATAGGATTTCTTCTGGGGAGGGTAACTGTTCTAAAATTAATTGTGGTGATGTTTCTACAACTTTGTGAATATACGAAACCTATTGAATTGTACTTTAAATTGGTGAACTGTATGGTTTGGATGTATGGAATCTCAATAGAGCTGTTATAAATAGCCCCACTACATATAATTTAAAATGGAATACTAAAAACATTCAAGAAATTCAGAGGAAGACAGGAAAGAGGAAAAAACAGGAATGAAAAACAGAGGGAACAGCAAACACAGAGTAAGCTGGAAATCTTAAATCTTAACATTAATAATTACATTAAAGGTAAATGATAAAAAACACATTAATAAAAAAAGAGATGGATAAAAAAAAGATCCAGCCATATGCTATTTATAAGAAACTCACTTGAAATACAAGTAGGTTAAAAGTAAAAGAATGAGCACAGATACACTATGTAAACATAAATTAAAAGAAAGCTGATTAACATCAGATATTAGTATCTTATAAAACAGACTTCAGAGCAAAGACAATTACCAGGGACAAACAGCAATATTACATAATGATAAAGGGATCAATTCACCAAGAATACGTAACAATCCTAAATGTGTATGTACTAAACCATGGAACTTCAAAACACATGTAGCAAAAACTGATAGAATTATATGAAACATTTGAGGGCGCCTGCGTGGCTCAGTCGTTAAGCGTCTGCCTTCGGCTCAGGTCATGATCCCAGGGTCCTGGGATCGAGCCCCGCATCAGGCTCCCTGCTCAGCGGGAAGCCTGCTTCTCCCTCTCCCACTCCCCCTGCTTGTGTTCCCTCTCTTGCTGTGTCTCTCTCTGTCAAATAAATAAATAAAATCTTTTTTTTTTAAAAAAAGAAACATTTGAAAAATTTACAATTATAATTGGTAACCTCAATACTCCTCTCTCAGTAATTGCTTGAACTGCTAAAATGAAAAGCAGCAAGGATAGAAAAGAACAGAATACCACTATAAAGCAGCAGGATATAACTGATATTTATTGATCATGTCATTCGATAACAGCCAGATATGTAATCTTTTAAAACACTGATGGGACCATTCACCAAAAGAGACCATATACTGGTCATAAAACAAGCATTAACAGATTTAAAGAAGTGAAGTTATACAAAATATATTCTCTGACAATAATGTAATTAAACTAGAAATCAGTAACAGAAAGATAATGGGAAATCACTGAATATGTAGGAATTAAACACCACATAGATAATCCATGAGTTACAGAGAAAATCTCAAGGGAATTAAAAAACATAATTAAATGAATGAAAATAATAGTAGTGTTATAAGGTTCCTACTCTACACATGAGGGGGCTTGGAAGGAAATATAGCATTGAGTACCTGTATTACAGTAGAACAATAGCTTCAAATCAATGATCTATCCTTCTACCTGAGGACACTAAAATAAAAAGACCAAATTTAATCCAAAACAAGCAGAGGAAGTACATAATAAAGATAAGAGCAGAGATCAATGAAATTAAAATTAGAAAACACTAGAGAAAAATCAATGAAGCTAAAAGTTGGTTCTTAGAAAATATCAATGAAATTGATAAATCTCTGATCAGAGTGATCATTAAAAACAGAGCAGACAGAAATTTCCAATATCAGAAATGAAAGCAGGGACAACACTATGGAGCCTGAAGTCATTAAATGGAAAATATGGGAATATTATAAACAATTTTATGCCCATAAATTCAAATTTAAGTTAAATAGCTGAGACAGAGAGAGAAAGAGAGAGACATAGATGGATAGGATAGACTTGAGAGTACTGAAATAGACCTATAAAAGGATATGATCAATTGACTTTTGACAAAGGTGCAAAGGCAAACCAATGGATAGTCTTAAACAGATTGTACTGCAAAAACTGGAATTCATATCCAAAAACAAAAAATGAACAAATAAGAAACTCTCAACCTATACTTTTCATCATATACAAAAATTATCTCAAAATTAATCATAATCTTAAATGTAACACCTCTATAACTATATAAAACTTTTAGAAGCAAAGAAAAGTGACAATCTCTGTGACCTTGGGTTAGACAAAGATTTCTTAGACATGATACCAAAGAACAATCCATTTTAAAAACTGATAAATTGGATTGCACCCATATTAAAAATTCTGTTTGAAAGAACTGTTAAGAAAATAAAAAGACAAGCCACAAATAGGGAGAAAATATTTGCAAAACACATATCTGATAAGGTCTTTTACCAAGAATA